ACCCTTGGCCCCTTTTGTTCTCACCCAGTGCTCTCTATGCCCTAAAATGCCAAAGGAATAATGTGGCTTTTCCTGAAGGTTTTATGACAACACAGAAGGAGAGAATTAAGTCATAAGTAGGCTAAAAGTAACCAAAAATGGCATTCAAATATCCCAACCCATTAATATTTTTCTTGCTACAACTACTGGTACCGCTCCTTAGTCTTCTTATATCCTTCTCCTATCCCTACTCTCTAGACTGTTCAAACTGCTCCTCCACACTGCCAACACACATACATACCTTTTCCACACCCCACTCAGGAAGACAAAGCTGGTACAGTGGAGTCCAGGAAAACCAAAACCACAACCAACACTTGTCCTTCAAGCATGTCCTTGGGAAGTCTCAATTCATCCCTGTGAACTAGAGATGAGAATTATCTACCCAAGACCTGAGACACCTGAGTTGACCTTAGCTCAAATCTGATGCTGCAAAGCAATTACATCTTACAAAGGGAATAGCAGGCTTTTAAAATTATGAGTCAAAGAAAGGGGGATATCTGGGTAGGCTGAAGCCAAGGGCTAGAAATAGAAGAAGGTTCCATTAGAGCTTTCTCTGATGGGGTTTCATGTAGTGTTGAAGGAGCGGGGTGGTGAAGGGGGGCTTAATGAAAATTAACCATCTACTGTGTACCAGTCACAGGCCTATGTATGCTGACGTGAGTTGACAATGCAATGATAGAATTAAAACCTGGCATGTATTGTGCACTAAATAAATAGTGATCATCCTTATTACCCTTACTTTAAAAATGAAGTGGTAGAAGCCCAGAAAGGTTGAATAAAGACCTCAAGGATCCATAGAATTGTAGCTGAGCTCTAACTCTAAAGCTCATGGCATTCCCATGGCACCATTTTGAATCTTGTCAGTGACACAGACTGGGTGAGATTCTATGAGCCACTGTCAGAGTCTCCTATCTCCTATCTGTTAAACCCTTCCATGCCTCTTTTCCAGAAATAGTTGATAGTAGAATCTTTAGGGTGTGATGGGTCTTTTGTCTCTTTGGCAGTGTCCAGGATAAGTCCTGGAATTCGCAGCAGACCCGATACCACAAAGAGCCCTCAGCCTTCCATGTTACTACAAGATACTGAAGCTGATAAACCAAGAAGTTAGTCTTCAAGGTTATCTGCTTCAATATCATCTTTAGCCCATTAGTATCTCTTTCTACTCAACATTCTTCGCTTTAGAAGGGAATAAAAGTCAAAAGGGAAGTCTGAGACACTCAGCATTCTGACCTCCTTCTTTGCATGGTCTTACCATTTTAATTAATTAATTTTCATATAAATATATAGGAACATAGGCTGGAAATATGGAGAGAGTGGAGTCATGAAGCCTCTAACAGAAAAGCTGTATGATGGGGAACCAGGTGATAGAAGAAAAGACAAGAGACTAGTACCTTTCCTTCTCCTGGATTAGTTAGGATAGGAAAGGCTTTGCTGCAATAACAAATGAATACCCAAATATCAGTAGCTTGATACCAAAAAAGTTTGTTGTTATGCCATCTAGAATATATGTGGCCTCATAAAAACCCCACAGCAGGGGAAGAGAAAGTGTGGGATTAGTAATCTAGAACTTGAATACCTCACTTAGAAATGACTTGTGTCACTTCCACTTACATGGCCTTGATGAGACTTTGATTCTTCTGTGTGCCTAAGGAGGAGAGATAGGCCAGGTACCAGAAAACACTTGTCATCTCTACCCAACAGTTTTGAGCCCCTTTCCTCTTTCAGCTTCCCTTTATGTCCTACTGAGACCCATGATCCATTACTTATCTTCTGCTCTTCCACCCACTAGGAAGACCTCTTCCCATCCCACCACCTGTCCAGCTATACCTCTGTTTCTGCCCCTCATAGCTGAGCACTGCTGCTCAGCAGAGTTGTAACCCTAGGTTGGTAGGGTGGGGAGACTCCCCCAGGCCTGTCAACCAGGCTTCAACTATTAGAGAAACTAGTAGAGAAACTGAAACTCAGAAATGTAATTTTCCAAGCAACACAGCTAGCAGATAAATACTAAGCCGGAATTTCACTTATTCATTTAGTTCTTAATAAACACATATTGAGTGCAACTTACTATATTGATTGTGGCCTCTTGTCCCAGATGGGTTAAGAACTTTGTCTTTGGATTTGGAGAGTCTTTGATTCTAGGCTGGAAAAGGCGCTTAACTGCTCTGTGACTTGGTTTCCCCATCTGTAAAACAGCAACAATATCACCACTTACTTCATGGGGCTAACGTAAGAATTTAATGGGCCAATGCATGTAAAGTGCTTCATGCAATGCTGAGCTTATAATAAGCACTCCACAAATAGCTAGCGGGAGAACAGCAAACAGATAAATTATATCAATATGGCGTGATGAAGTGCTGTGATGAAGGTAAATCCAGGATGCTGTGGGAGCCGAGAAGGGAAACATAAATTGGTTTAGGTTATGCCTTCTCAGGAACGTGGTTATTGAGACAAGTTTTGAAAGAGTGACAGTTATCATACTGAACAAGGCTGGAGAGTAAGGCAGGAGATCTTCCGAGTTGAGGAAGTAGCATGTGCAGATTGTTGGAGACAGGAAGCATGCTGAACTTGAATGGGTCAAAGCAAAGGAATAGATGCCTATGTGACCAGAGTCCAGGAGTGATCAGAGGTGGGGCTGAAGGAGAGAGCAAGGCCAGGACACTGAAGACTATGTATAACCCCAGAGCATATATATGAACTTGGTCCTGAGACCATGGGAGCCGTTGGAGGTGTTTAAGCAGACCACCTTATAAGGTGGATCAGAGATGGGGATCTGGGGCACAGACAAGGCAAGACCATGGGGAGAACAGGTAGGAAGCCACTGAAATAGGCCAGGTGGGAACACCAAAGTCATATCCTCTCTCAACCTTCCGTTTCTTTTTGACATGTGAGCCATGTCCTGCCTATCTCCAAGGGTGGGGAAAAATTAATAAAAGTAGCCACTTAGAATAAGGTTGGCAAACTGTTTTGTAAAGGGCCAGATAGTAAATATTTTCAGTTTTGCAGGCTACATGGTCTCTGTCACACATACTCAACTTGGTCATGGTAGCACAGAAAGCAGCCATAGGTAAGAAATATAAAATGAGCATGACCATGTTCCAATAAAAGTTTATTTATGGACACTGAAATAAGAATTTTATATAATCTTCATGTGTCATAAAATATTACTCTTCTTTTTGGTTTTATTTCCCCCAACTGATGAATCACTAAATTCTGCCCCTGAAACTAATAATATTCTATAAGTTAAAAAAATTGAATTTAAATAAAAAATTTAAAAATAACAAATAAAAATTTTTTAAAAGTAAGGTCAAATAGCAAACACCCCATTTACAAGTGTAAAAACCATTCCTAACTCATGGCCAGGCAGAAAACTCTGAGAACCCAGATTTGACCCACAAGCCAGAGTTCACTGACCTCTGACTTAGCATGTACTTTGAAAATGGTGACGCTTCCATACCGTTAAGGGGAGGAATATTATGATGACAATTGACTGGCAGTTATGTTTTATAGTATATCATGACCTTGCTTAAGCTTGCTATTTATGTGTTTTTTTTTTTTTAAATGATGTACTTCCTGTTTATCAGTTGGTCTGGAGTGCCCTACCTCTCTCCTCATTTTGCATAAGGGCTTTATACAGTTTTGTTGATGAATCACTAGAGGAACATGTAGGCTTTCACCAAGCATTAGACACCTTCCTGCCCTTTATATAATTTTCTTTACAGAGACAAGTAGTCAGTTTCAAAGGCCCAGGAGCATTCGTCATGCAAACCAGGATTTAAATACTGCCTCTGCCCGTTACTAGTTCTGTGACCTTGAGCAAGTTATATCCATGCTCTGATTCATTTCTTCACCTGTTCATTCATTTGTTCAACAAATATTCCCAGAGTCCCTACTACATGCCAGGTACAAAACAAGATCACAGGAGCGCTTAGTAAATGAAACGCGGTGACTTCCTTCAAGGAGCTTACAGAGTTAAGGCAAAGGTGGGCACTAAGAACAGGGCGGGGTTATTGCTGTGAGAAAGGAAGATTGGCGTGTTATGGGAAGACAGAGTGGGGTATCTGTCCCATACACGGTGAGATACCAGAGACTCCCAAGAAAGGAGCTCCAACTGATTCCTGAAGGGTGAGTGGTTGCTAGTCGGGTAGAGGGGTAGAAAGGGAGTGTATTCCTCACAAGGTGATGAGCCTGGGTAAGGTCTACAGACAAGAATGTAGCAGGCTATTGATGATGGAGAGGACTTTGTTGTCCTTGGGGCAGAGAGTGTGGAGGGACAGGCAAGGATCTCATCACTGAGGGTCTGTGCTGGAGAAGGGGCTCTGAGGTTTCCCTTACTGATGCCTTTTAGCCGTAGGGTGGAGGGTGGATTGAAAGGGAGCAAGACTGGAGGCAGGAGGACCAGCAAGGAAGGTGGTATTTTGAGCGCTCCCCAGTGAAGCGTGCGGGTGGCTTGAACCAAGTGGAAATGAGATTGGAGAGAAGAGCGAGGCTTTGAGAGCCTTCCTAGAGAAGACTTACTGAGGCATGCTGAGGGTTTAGACGTGGGAGGTCAGTAAAAAGGAGAGGCAAAGGATGACTCCCGGATTCCTCCATGGAGCCGCTACGTGGGTGGGGCCACCATTTACTAAGAAAGCAGAGCGGGAGAGAAGACGGGGCGTGGAAAGATGATGGGGCTCATTTATAATAATACTGACTTTTCCGGGTTGTTCTCCGTCTTAGATACCTAGCAGAGTACCTGGCATGTCGTGGGTGCTTGATAAATGCTGACTCTTACCCTCGTTTCATTTTTAAAAATCGATTGCAGCCTTGTTTTGTTAGATCGTGATGTTCTTTTGCTGTTTAGCGTGAGCTCTTCAGAGCCACAAGAACTGTAGTCTTGTTCACCATGCCGCTTGTTTTCATGTGTGTTTCTTTCTCTCCTTCTCTTCTGCATGCTGCCTGGGGACTGGCTTCCTTGTGGTCAGCACCAATGGGCAGCGCCCAGGTGACCCCGGGGACTCCACTCTGCCTCCTCACCACAGGTGACCACCAGAGCCCCGGGCGGGTGGGAAGGAATTGAGCATGGCCCATGCTCAGGGCGTCCTTCAGGCCAGGTGCACCAGAGAGGAACTGGCAGTCCCTCCACGCCACCCACCTGTCCACCCATTTACTCTTCCAGCCACCCACCCACCCATTCGCCCACCCACCCACCTCTCTACCCCTCCCTTCATCCATGCAGCTACCCACTCATCCATTCCACTGATGCTTACTAAGTACCTGCTATGTGCCAGGCACTGTTCTAGGCATGGAGGGATGCAGTGATGAGGAAAAGACCTGTTCCTATGCCTTTCTGGGAAGGGAGAAAGCCACCCTAATCAATGCACAACGATAACTGTGAGGGGGACTACAAAGGAGAGGTGTGTGGTGTTCAAACACAAACATACTCGGAGCTCAGAGTATGTGTCCACAGAAGTGACAGCTCAGCCATGGTCTGAGTTTGGGGAAGTGGACCTTCTGTGTCTGTGCTTAGAATGGGACTGGATCTGGCTGTGATCCCAGGCCTCCCCCGTGTGCTGGACAAGCCCTTTAAATGTGATGGTCCCCACCTCTCCTGCGTGTTAGGTGAGAATCATAATGGCTGCCTCTAAGAGGGCGCCATTTGCTTCTAGAATCTGCACGTGCAGAGTCTTCTGGAGTTATACTCCGAGGCCACACGAGATAATGAGTGTGGAAGGGCTGGAGTAAGAGTGCCCAGCCTAGGGGAGGTATTTGTGTGAAGGATATCAGCCCCTTTCCTCAAACATGCTGTAGTTTGACCACATTTCCCATTAGCATCTGCCTCTCTTCAAAGACTGGGATGCAGAGCCCACCTGTGTCAGAGGCTGATGCCTATGGCAGGTCCTACAGACCAAAGAGACCCCACTGCCCTAAAGGTGAGACTCTAGGGCCCTTTCTTGTTAGTGGAAGTCCTTGGTGATTTCAGATCTTTACCTGATGCCTGTCTCAAGCGTGGTTGCTCAGACAGTGGCCTCCTTTCTACCAGTCTCTGACTGGCCAGTTTGTCATGGCAGGAGAGGGGGTATGGCCGGCAGGGATGACTGGAGTCTGGCCATTTGGTACCTCATGGTCCACTTCTGTCCACCCTCTTCCCCAAAGTCAGAAATATGACTGCTAGTGAATGTCTTCGGCTAGTTACTGTAGACCCGGAGCCCGAGATAGAGATTCCTGTGCAAATGACTCATGGAAGAGATTTCTCAGGAGACAAAGTCAGGGAGGCAGGATAGGGCAGGATGTGGAGGCCTGTGGCAGCTTGAGCCCTCAGAAACCTCACCTTGAAGCCAAGGGGCCAGCAGTTGTGCCACAATGCCAGCCGGCCATTGGCTGCGGGCTGTCATGGGAGTGCACAGGCCCCTGGAGAGGCCACTCGCCTTTGCCTTACGGTCCTTCTGCCAGGAAGGAGGCATCTGTGAGCCTTTAGCAGCCAGAACCCACAGCTGCTGGACGCCTGGTGTACCAGTCTGGGAAAGGAGATACTGGGTGAGTCAACAGCATTCACTGCAGCCCAGCTGTCCCTGCCCCCAACCCCCATAGCTCAGCACGCCCCTGCCAATGCTACAGGAATGTCATCATAATCCCTCCCCACCTAGATGGCCTTAAGCAAGCTGCATAGCCTTTTACCATCTGTAAATCTCATTGTCACACTTTTGAGTCCTGTTACAGATCACTGTTAGGTGGCCCTAGAGACTGCCCTGTTCGACAGCCACACGTAGTAGGCCTTCAGGAAATGTCAGCCCCCTGTCATCCCCCATCACAGGCCCACCAGCCTCGCCCTCACCCCCGGGGAGGTAGGGATTCGCATGCAGAAGCATGGTCATGGTGAGGAGAGAGGGACTCTCACCACCGTGCGCACACCCACTCTAGCGAGATACCGCGCGTCCCCGGAGCCCGTGTGGGAGTTCCATTTCCGCTGGGCCATTGTTCTCTGGCATCTCTTCAAGTTGAGTGGTCTGATAATGTTTTCTTTAAACGGAGCCAATTCCTTTTCGGGCGCATTTGTTCTTCCCTCTTGCCTCTGAGGTGTCTGAATGTTCCTCCTCTGACAGGTTGATTTCATCGTGTTCCATTTGTTTCTCGGCCCTATTTGATGGTGAGGGGCCTGCGAGTGTTTCTCTCGGAGCAGAATGTCTCTTTCAGACGGGGTGTTTGCTCGTGCTCATCTCCTGGAAGCAAGAAGGGCCGGTGGGAAGGACCGGTAGAAATCATAACTGCCGGCTGTGCGGGATGGGGGCAGTAGACCAGAAGCTCAGGAAGCCTCTTTTCGGGTTGGCAACAGGCCGGAGAACCGTGGAACCACATCATGTAGCAGGGAAGAGGCTGACATTGGGAACAGAGGCTGTGTTCAGCTCTCAGCCCTGCCACCTTCTGGCCTCAGGATGGTGGGCAAGTGATTTCTCCTCTTTGGGCTTCCTTCTCTTCTGGAGTGGGGACCGTGGCACCCCTGGCAGTAGTTAATCATGAGAACTGGGTATGGTGACAGCCTTAACCTCTTTGCTCAGCTAACTCCAGCTAGCTCTGCAGGTCTGTGACATCCTGGCTGTGCTCGGGGGCTGGGCTCCTCAACCTCGGCATGAGGGACATTTGGGGATGGATGCTTGTCTGTCGTGGGGGGCTGTCCTGTGCCTGGCAGGATGCTTAGCAGCACGTCTGGCTTCTACCCACTAGATGCCAGTAGCACTTCATCCCTCAATTATGACAACCAACTCTATCTCCAGACAGTCCGCAGGGTCCCTGAGGGGCAATAGCTCCCCTTGTGGAAATCCTCCAGAGCTGCCCCGTTCAATAAAAATAGAACTGGGACTATGTATAGAAGTTTACATTTTTAAAAAAGATCTTATTTAGTTATTTATTTGAGAGAGCAAGAGAGAGAACGAGAGAGCACAAGCAGAGGGAGCGGCAGGCAGAGGGAGAGGGAGAAGCAGGCTCCCACTGAGCAGGGAGCCCGATGCAGGGCTTGATCCCAGGACCATGAGATCATGACCTGAGCCAAAGACAAACACTTAACCAAGTGAGCCGCCCAGGCACCTATAATTTTATGTTTTTTAGAGTCACATTAAAAAAGAAAAAAAAAACAGATGAAATTAATTTTAATAGATATTATTTAACCCAGTGCCGATAAAGTTTTACCATTTTAACATGCATTCTGTATTTTCAAATTACTAGTGAAAGGTATTTTACATTTTTTTTTGCACTAAATCTTTGCAATCTGGTATACATTTTCCATTTACAACACATCTCAGTTCAGACGCTAGATTTTAAACAGATTTAAAATGAAATATAGCCTTAAAAAGGTAAACATTATGTTTAATAAGTAAACATACTTCATACTAATTTTTAAATTTAAATTCATTAAAATAAATCATAAAATAAATTTTAAAACTCGCTTCCTCAGTCACTCTAGCCACATTTCAGGTGCTCAGTGACCGCATGTGGCTTAGTGGCTACCATGTTGGACAGCACAGATCTAGAGGCAATAAAAATTTTTTTGACCATATTTGTGCCCTACTGGTGAACAGAAGTGTATATGCACGGAGACATGACTCAGTAAATGTTCAGTTCCTTTGTTTGACTTACACACACACACACACACACACACACACACACAGGGACATTTGGTATGTCTGGAAGTGTATTTGGTTGTCATTAGTGGGTATGAGGGTGAAGGCTGGGGATTCTTGCCTTGCAAAAATAAGGTCTCATGGCCAGGGTTAGGTGGGTTTTTTTTGTTTTTGTTTTTTTGTAGTGGGATGACTTGTGGCTGTGGTGGACAAGTGCCAAGCTAACATTTCACCTGAAGGACTTGGGACCCCATGGACCCACCGCTGCAGAAGTTACCCCTTCTCTGGCTCCGGTAGTAACTCAGCCAGGCCTCCAGGCAGCAGTGTGGGACCCTGGGTCCAACTGGAGGCTGGAGAATATGCACTAATGGTCAGCCATGCTCTTGAGTTGAACCCCTGCCAGACCCAGATTCACCACCTTGACTGTGCCCAGTCCCCATTGTCAGTACTCCACAAGATGGGCTTTGGGCTAAGCCCTCATATGGAGCCCAAACTCCATTCCTTAAAACTGGGGGACTTGGGCACATCACACAGCCTTTCTGAGCCCAGGTCCTATCTGTGAGATAATGTGGATGAGTCCCAGACTGACCAGGCTCGCTGGTGGCAAGGGTCGTCAGAGGGAAGGGATGCGTTTCTGACCCAGCTCCTGCTGGAGAGGGTATCAAGTGGACCTCCCCTCTGTCATTCCTTTCTTTCCTGTCCACATCACGGGAAAACTCTCTGTTGTTATTTTCCTGGCAGTTTTTAAAATCAGAGCCTTGCTGCAGTAGCAGAATTCAGGCCATAAAACACTCTTGGAGACTGCTTTGCCTCTAAAGCAACTTGCCCAGGGATGGCTTATAAATTCTGGACCCAGGTAGAGTTTGAGCCTTTGCAATAAAACTGTGTCGGCCCAGAGCAGATGGGGAAGCAGCACGGCAGTCTCCTGAGGGCTCAGTGTGGTGCCTGGTGGCCTCCGCAGCCTCAGACACCCCGGGGTCTCAGCGACCCTCTCAGGGAGGCTATGCCCCCTGGCAAAGGAGGACAGATGGTGTGAGAACAGGAGCTGGAAGCAGTAAAACCAGATGTAGTGCTCTGGAAAAGGCTGAAACCCAAGCACCCCCCATGATGGGACTGTGCTAGGTGGAGAGAGGCGGAAGGAAGACCCACAGTGGGGGACACAGCCTGCCAGGCTGGCTGGAGAGAGGTGGCAGCTCTGGGAAATAGTAGCATCAGGGATATCTAGCAAGCTGAGGAAAAGAATACTAGAACAGCTAAGACATGTTACAGATTTCCTACATGCTGTGCTTGTGCAAAGGGTTTCCCATTATTAGTGTACTTCCCCCGTAGAGTGCTGTTAGCATTCTCATTTATGGAGGTGGAAACTGAGGCTCTGATCATTGGAAATCACAAAGCTCAAGGATGATAAATTTCTCTGGACAGTCTGC